CTCTAAGCCAGTATAGAACTGTTCCATAGGGTTTCCCAGGTTGGGAATCTTTAAGGTGTATGAAGTGTGAATCTAAGAAAATTGGAAATAATAAAAAATGAAATGGAATGCATGAAGATGGATATCCTAGATGTTAGTGAGCTGAACAGACTGGTTTGGGCATTCTAAATCAGATAATCACATGGTTTATTATGCCTGGAATGTCAAATGCAAGAGGAAAGGGGTAGCATCCATTGTCAGAAGAACTTTCTAAGATCTATCTTAAAGTACAACACTGTCTGTGATAGGATAATAGCCATATGCCTACAAGGAAGACCGGGTAATACAATTACTATTCAAATTCACAAAACAATCACTAAAGAAAGTGATGACGAAATTGAAGAATTCTACTATCTTCTTCAGAGTCCTTGTATGGTGCTGTGGGTTAATGTGCTGGACTGCAAAGTCATTTGAACTGCAAGGTCAGCGGTTCAAGCTCACCAGCTGCTCCTTGGAAACCCTATACAGGGTTGCTATGGGTCAGAACTGACTTGATGACACTTAACAACAACCATCTTCTTCAGTCTGAAATTGATCAAACATGCAAGTAAGATATATTGATAATTACTAGTGATTAGAATGTGAAGATTGGAAACAAAGAGGAAGGATTGGTAGCTGGAAAATATGGTCTTGATAGAAATGCTGCTGGAGATGCTTTCAGAATTCTGAAAGATTAATGAGTTATTCATCATAAATACCTTTTTAAAACAACATAAAAAGTGACTATACACATGGACCTCTCCAGATGGAATACACAGGAATCAAACTAACTACATCTGTGGGAAAAGACGATGGAAAAGCTCAATGTCATCAGTCAAAACAAGGCCAGGGGTAGACTGTGAAACAGACCATCAATTACTCATACGCAAGTTCAGGATGAAACTGAAGAAAATGAAAATAAGTTCAAGTGAGCCAATAGGTTGACGGTATCCCACCTGAATTTAGAGACCACCTCAAGAACAGATTTGATGTATTAGACACTAATGACAGAAGACCAGAAGAGTGGTGGGAAGACATCAAGAACATCATACATGAAAAAAGAAAGAAAAGACCAAAATGGATGTCAGAATAGACTCTGAAATTTATTCTCCAACACAGAGATGCTAAAGTGAATGGAGGAAATGAGGAAGTCAAAGAGCTGAACAGAAAATTTCAAAGGATAGCTCAAGAAGTCAAAGTCAAGTACTATAATGAAATGTGCAAAGACCTGGAGTTAGAAAATCAAAAGAGAATATGCTCAGCATTTCTCAACCTGCAATATTGAAGGATTCTATGGGCAAATACTGAATGATGTAGAAACCATCAAAAGAAGATGGAAGGTATACACAGAGTCACTGCTGTTCAACCATTTCAAGTGTAGCATATGATCACTGATGGTACTAAAGAAAGTAGTTCAAGCCGCCCTGAAGGCAATGGTGAAATACAAGGCTCCAGGAATTGGATTCAGACAAACTGAAATTTTTTAACAAACTGCTGATGTCAGATGGGTATTGGCTGAAAGCAGAGACTACCAGAAAGAACTTTACTTGTGTTTTATTGACTATGCAAAACCTTTTTAAGGCTTTTGACTGTGTGGATCATGATAAGCTATGAAAAACTTGTGAAGAATGGTTATATTCCAAAACACTTAATTGTGTTCATGAGGAACCTGTACATAGGTAATCGTTCTAACAGAACAAGGGGACACTGAATGGTTAAAACTCAGGAAAGGTGTTGTTGTTGTTATCCGGTGCCATCGAGTCAGAACCAACTCATAGCAACCCCATGCACAGCAGAACAAAACAATGTCTGATCCTGGGTCAACCTCACTACCGCTGCCACACTTGATGCCATCAATGATGCCACCTGTCCAATCCATCTCGTTGGGGGTCTTCCTCTTTTTCTCTGACCCTCCATCCTACCCAGCATGACATCCTTCTCCAGCGACTGTTCCCTCCTGACAATATGTCCAAAGTATGAGAGACAAAGCTTAGTCATCTTGGCCTCCAAGGAGCACTCTGACTGCACTTCTTCCAAAACAGATCTTTCGGTTCTTTTGGCAGCCCATGGCACTTTTAGTATTCTCCTCCAACACCACAACTCAAAGGCATCAATTCTTCTTCGATCTTCGTTATGCACTGTCCAGCTTTTGCATCCATATGAGGTTATTGAAAATATCATTGCTTGGGTCAGATGCACCTTAGTCCTCAAGCTGACATCTTTGCTCTTCAACACTTTAAAAAGTTCCTGTGCAACAGATTTGCCCAGTGCAATACGCCATCTGATCTTTTGACTGCTGCTTCACGAATGTTGATAGTTAATCCAAGAAGAATGAAGTCCTTGACAATTTCAATCTTTTCTCCATTGATAAAAATGTTGTTTATTGGTCCAGTGGTGAGGATTTTTGTTTTCTTGACATTGAGATGTAATCCATATCGAAGGCTGTGCTCTTTGATCTTCATCAGTAAATGTTTCAAGTCCTCTTCACTTTCAGCAAGCAAGGTTGTATCATCTGCTTATTGCAGGTTGTTCATGAGTCTTCCTCCAATCCCAACACCACGTTTTTCTTCATAGAACCCAGCTTTTCGTATTATTTGCTCAGCATACAGGTTGAATAAGTATGGTGAAAGAATACAACCTTGTTGCACACCTTTCCCAATTTTAAAACATTCAGTATTCCCATGCTCTGTTCGAACAACTACTGCTTGGTCCAGGTACAGATTCCTCAGAAGTACAATTAAGTGTTCTGGAATACTCATACTTCTCAATGTTGTCCATAGCTTTTCATGATCCACACAATCAAAAGCTTTTGTGTAGTCAATAAAGTATAGGTAAACATCTTTCTGATATTCTCTGCTTTCAGCCAAGATCCATTGGACATCAGCAGATATCTCTCATTCCACGGCCTCTTCTGAATCCAGCTTGAACCTCTGGAAGTTCTCTGTCAATGTATGATTATAGCTGTTTCTGTATTACCTTTAGCAAAACTTTACTCACTTGAGATATCAAAGAGATTGTCTGATGATTTCCGCATTCCGTTGGGTCATCTCTCTTTGGAATGGGCACAAACATGGATCTCTTCCAATCAGTCGGCCAGATAGTTTTCTTCCAAATTTCTTGGCAGAGAGGAAACGTGTTCACTAGGGTTACATTGTTTCACCATACATATTCAACCTATATGCTGAGCAAATAATCCTAGGAACTGGATTATATGAAGAAGAATGTGGCATCAGGTTTGAAGACTCATTAACGACCCATGATATGCAGCTGGTTCATAACAAACTTGCTTACTGGAAGCAAAGAGGACTTAAGTTACTTACTGATGAAGACTGAAGAATACAATTTTAGTATGGCTTGCATGTCCTTGTAAAAAAAACCACAAAAATCCTCACAACTGGGCCAATAAATAAAATCATGATAAATGGAAAAAAGATTGAAGTTGTCTAAGATTTCATTTTGCTTGGATTCATAGTGAACACTGATGGCAGCAGGAGTCCAAGAAATCAAACAATGATGCAAAGCTAATGATCTTTTCCGTAAACCGTTACTCAATTCACAATAAAAAGTAAAAAACCAAAAAGATAGGAAACAACGTACTGCTTTAGGCATATTTGCTGCACAAGACCTCTTTAATGTGTTTCAGAGCAAAGATGTCAGTTTGAGGACTAAGGTGCATTTTACCCAAGCCACGGTATTTTCAATAGGCTCATATGCATGTGGAAGTTGGACAGTGAAGAAGGAAACTGCAGAAGAATCAATGCATTTGAGTTATGGTTTTGGAGAAGGATATTTAAAGTACCAGAGATTCCAGAAGAACAAACAAATATATGTTGAAAAAAGTACAGCCAGAATTCTCCTTAGAAGCCAGGATAGTGAGACTTCATCTCCCACACTTCGGACATATTGTCATGATGTCCCTGGAGAAGGACATCATGCTTGGTAAAGTAGAGGGTCAGAGAAAAAGAGGAAGGCCCCCCCCCCGATGAGCTGGATTGGCACAGTGGCAACAGCAATGGGCTTAATCGTAACAATTGTGAGTATGGCACAGGACCAGGCGGTGTTTTGTTTAAAATCCTTATCGTAACTTTTATGTTTTAAAATAGCTTAAGACTCAAAATAAATTACAAAAATAGTATACTATAGAAACTTCTTATGTACCTATTCTTCACTCAGTTTTCCCTGTTGCTACTGTTAAATGCTGTTGAGTTGGTTCCTGTATAGTGTTTCTGATACTTCAAATTTTGCAGGAGCAGAAAGTCTCATCATTCTTCCACAAAGCAGCTAGCAGGCTCAAAGTGCAAACTTTGTGGTTCACAGTCCAGTGTTCATTGTATGGAGTAATATCTTATACACTAAAATACGCTGTTGAAATCAGGACATTGGCAATGTTCAAATGTTGTTGTTGTTAAGTATCATTGAGTAGGTGCTGACTCATAGCAACCCTGGATAGGGTTTCTGAGGAGTGGCTGGTGTGTTAGAACTGCCAACCTTGTGGTTACCAATCCAGTGCTTATCTTACAGCACCATACTAAGACTATGATGGCACAATGTTGTTAAGTGCTGCGGAGTTGGTTCCGACTCATAGCAGCCCTGTATACAGTTTCCAAGGAGCAGCTGGTAGGTTTGAAACCCTGACTTCGGGATTGTTGTTATGTCTAACAACATTCTCAGAATTACAAAGAAGAATTTATTCTAAGAAAATTATATAGTATGCTACCAGAATTAAATAAATTATCACGAACAAAATTTTGAATAAACTACTTTATAAGCTCTCCTTAAACTTTCATTCCTATTCAAGTAAGAAATAAAATTGCACAAAATAACTAAATTTAACATCAAAGCAAAAGCCTAACAAACACAACTAAAAAGTGAAAGTTCACTTAAACACATCTTTGAAACTGAAAAAAAAATTTTAAAGACAGGCTAGCAAATCCAGTTTTAAAAGTACAGTATAATAAAAGCATACTTATTCATGAACCAACCTGTACTGGATCTATCATCAGCAGCATAGACTTTGATTAGACCCGTGTTAAGGGGTGTCTGTTCCACAGTATGTGTCCCATGACCACTATCCATGCTGCCATGACTAACAGCATCCAGGTCACTGCCATCTGCTTAAAAACAGAATTTAATAGCATTTTACTACTCACAGAAATTCCACAATATGTAAAGTGTGTTGCTCAAGCTAATAATCTAGTAACTGAATAGTTGTTGTTAGGTGCTGCTGAGTAGATTTCAACTCATAATGACCCTGTACAGACACTGCATGGTCCTTTGCTAGCCACACAACTGCTACGTTTGAGCCCATTGTTGTTGCCACTGTGTCAGTCCATACCATTCATGGTCTTCCTCTTTTTCACTGACCCTCCATTTTACCAACCATGATATCCTTTTTGACAGTATGTCCAAAGTATGAGAGATAAAGTTTCGCCATCATTGCGTATAAGGAGCAATCCGGCCATGTCTTCCCAAACAGATTTGTTTGTTCTTCTGGCAATCATAGTATATTCAGTACTCTTCACCAACACCATGATTCAAAGGCATTAATTCTTCTCTGGTCTTCTTTATTCACTGTCCAACATTCACATACATATGAGGTGACTGAAAATACCATGGCTTGGGTCAGGTGTACCTTATTCCTCAAAGTGGTATCTTTGCTCTTGAGCACTTTAAAGAGGTCTTTTGCAGCAGATTTGCCTAATACAATACATTGTTTGATTTCTTGACTGCTGTGTCCATGAATGTTGGAATTAGAAAACCAAAAGGGAAGAACATGTTCAGTATATCTCAAGCTGAAAGAAGTAAAGAAAAAATTAAGCCTCAAGTAAAATGAAATATTTGATACCTTCTATATTTTCTCTGTCTAGTTGTGAGGATTTTTGGTGTCTTTACACTGAGGTGCAATCCATACTGAAGGCTGTAGTCTTGATTTTCATCAGTAAGTACTTCAAGTCCTCTTCATTTCTTGCAAGATTGTGTCATCTGCCTATCCCAGGTTGTTGACACATCTTCCTTCAAACCTGATGCCATGTTCTAATCCAGCTTCTCAGATCATTTGCTCAGCATATAGATTGAATTAGTATGATGAAAGGATACAAGCCTGATGTACACCATTTTCTGATTTTAAACCATTCAGTATCACCTTGTTCTGTTGGAATGACTGCCTCTTGGCCTATGTACAGGTTCTTTATGAGCATAGATACTCTGGAATTTCCATTCTTTACAATATTATACAGAATTTATTATGATCCACATAGTCAAATGCTTTTGCATAGTCAATAAAACAAGTAAATATCCTTCTGGTATTCTCTGCTTTCAGTCAAGATTCAGCCAAGATTCACCCATCAAAAGTGATTGTTGTTAAGTGCTGTTGAGCCAATTCCTATTCATAGCAACCGAGAAGCGGCTGTGAGTTTGAACCACCTACCTTGTGGTTCAAACTGACCTTTAGGTCCAGTGCATTATCGTGCACAACTCCATCAACAATGAGATTCATATCTTATTATGAATCCATCTTGAATTTCTGGTAGCTCCCTGTTGATGTACATCTGTAACCATTTTTGAATTACCTACAGCAAATTTTACTTGCATGATATTAATGATATTATTGTTTGTTGATTTTCATAGTCTGTTGGGTCACCTTTCTTTGGAATGGGAACAAATAAAAATCTCTTCCAAATTTCTTAACATAGCGATGCATCAGTTTGTTGAAACATTTCATGGAGGCTTGTTTTTCTCCAATGCCTTAGGTGCAGCTTAAACTTCTTCCTTCAGTTTCACCAGTCCTTGATCGTATGGTACATCTTGAAATGGTAGCATGCCAACCAATTCTTTTTGATACAATAACTCTGTGCATTCTATCCATCTTTTGATGCTTTCTGTGTCATTCAATATTCTGCCCACAGAATTCTACAACATTGCAACTTGAGGCTTAATTTTTTCTTTACTTCTTTCAGCTTGAGATATACTGAACATGTTCTTCCCTTTTGGTTTTCTAATTCCAGGCCTTTCTCCCTTTTATCCTAACACTTAACTCTGTCTTCTCAACTGCCCTTTGAAGTTTTCTGTTCAGCTCTTCCACATTTCCTTCAGTTGCTTTAGCTTCTCTACGTTCAGGAGCAAGTTTCAGAGTCTCTTCTAACAGCTGCTAAATGATTAGCATCACACAACAATAATAAAGAAACTTGTTGTGAATTATTATCGTTGTTGTTAAGTGATGTCAAGTTGGTTCTGACTCAGTGTGAACTTGTATAGGTTTTTTCAAAATGGCTGATGTGTCTGAGCCACTGACCTTGTGGTTAACAGTCCAGTACTTATCCTACAGCGCCCTACCAGGACTCCTGTGAATTATTAAAGGACACTAAAACAATATCACCAAAGACTGATAGTCTGAAACAAAAATAAGTAAAATTTGGTATGTTTCTTTAAATGGCAAGACTATTCTTTTTAATTTACTTAGTGACAATAAAATCTAAAACATAGTCAATATTTTCAAATGATTTAAAATTTCAATAAATGCAAAGTCAATTAATTTAAAAAAATAGTAAAAAACAGATGTTTCGTAAAACCTTTAATTACCTGAGAGAGTTGTTTGTGATACGTGTGCATGCTTTCTTAATGCTCTTTTGAACTGTGCTACTCCCAACACGACATTTCTTACTTTAGTCCAAAGAAAATAACCACTATGACTTCTTGAAGGCCAGGTGCTTTCCAATACAGCCTATTCATTCAACAAAATAAAATCATTAGAAAAAGAGATAAGCTGGCTTCGGAGTCAAACTACAGAATACCAAAGTAAAGTGTTTAACATAAAATAGAACAGAAACACTTACTTGATTTACAAAATATATTTTAGACATTCTAAATGCAACATAATATCACATCAATTATTTCTGCCATTAAATTAAGGCTGTATAATCACAAAAAGGAGCTCTGGTAGCGCAGTGGTTATGAATTGGGCTGCTAACCTCAGCGTCAGTAGTTCAAAACTACCAGCTGTTCCGCGAGAGAAAGATGAGGCTGTCTGCTCCCGTAAAGATTTACAGCCTCAGAAACCCTGTACAGGGTTCACCGACTCCATGGCACACAACAACAACAATCACAAAAGTCACACTATTTCTTTTTATATAACAAGTTATTATATCAAGCTATTACCTTGTTATAATAACCATAAGTAATGGCATTGGGGTCGATACCAGCTTTTTTCATTTCAAATAGCACTCTCACAGCAAGCACTGGCTGGTCATACTGCCCACAGAGCTGCATAAGAATTCGGTAGCATACCTGAAACATAGTGAATTAGAGTGTGCAGACACAAAGTCACCAATGTACATCAATTGAGAAAAAAATACTATGTTTAAAAGAATAATTGTTACCTCATCAGGTGGATCCATCTTTTTTGACTGCATTTTTTTTAGCACATCATATGCTGTTGTTAGAGCCCTGACTTTTGAATGACACACTTTCACATAAGCTGGGAGACAAATAAACCACAGTCCGTAACAGTGACGCAGTAAGCACCTAGACCACATCTGAGGGATGGAAGAATACCTCTTTGCAATTTTATGAGATGACTTTATTTCCTGGGAAAAAATGCAAGGGTTCCATGAATAAATTTATATTCCTACTTTATATTTATATAATTTATAATAAATTTATATTTATAAATATAATAATATATAAATATAATAAACTTATATTTATCTTACTTAGCTAAATGCTGAGTAAGTACAAGTTATATTTTTTAATAATGTTTCTATAACAAAATCTATCTGCATTTAATATATTTTCAAGTCTCTTCTTGAATTTGTATTCTGTAATACGTTAAAATCATATTAAGGGCAGATGCATGCCAAATTTACTTTTAGTACTAATATTTGATTAAGGAGCTTTGGTAGCTTCATGGTTATAACTTGGGCTGTTAAACCTCAGGTCAGCTTCAGTTCCATGGAAGAAAGATGAGGCTTTCTGCTCTTGTAAAGAATAACAACCTTGGAGACCCTATAGAGGGTGGCTATGAGTTGGAACCAACTTCATGGCACACAATCACCACCACCACTAATATTTGATTACATGAAGAATGCAAACAATTTTCAAAGTACCTGTTTAGTTCTTCTGAACATGGGAGAAGGACTACTAGGGCTACTTGATTTTGAGGGCAATTTGCTCTTTTGTGTTTGTAAAAATTCTTCAGGCCTCTCAAATAAATTGTTCCTAAGAACTGGAAATCCATTATAGCTGTTTAGGAAAAGAAAAACAAAACCAAAACAGAATCAATTCCAGTACAAATAGATGATCATACTGCTTACAAACTAAAAAACTGTAACCTCTAACTCTTAACCTAGAATTTATATTGATTATCTTTCTCTATCATACTATGCTATAAACAAAAAGTCATGCCAATGCTTTTCTTTCTATAATATTTAAAAGGTAGTAGCCAAAATACAGAGCAAACATGTCTTTTGAAAAGAAAAGTGACTTTCATTCAAATTTTGCTGAAGCTGACATCAAACTCAAAAGTAACTCAAGTTAACTTTTAAATATTAGTATCATGGTCCAACAAAATATCACATAATAAGATAGTTGGTAAGGGGCTTTTTCTAATTGAACAGTTGTTAATTGAAGTGAGAAATTTACTGTAGAATATCCCTCTTAAAAAGATGCAAATGACAACTTGAAGTGTGTACTTTACACACCAGTCCCAGCTACCGTGAACTGATTTACCAGCCTACCTGCAGATTCAGGACCTCATCTTAAGAATGAAAATTGGAGAGGTTGAAGAGGAAGAAATGATGAGAATATGTCGACCTAAGAAAGGTGGGCCTATGTAAGGTTAGAGGAAACTCTTCTGGGCATTTAAAGGTAGAAGCATATTGAAAAGAATGAAGAAGCCAATGAGTAATAAATTTAAGCAACTTTATAATATTCTTGAAAGCATTTAATAAACTAATAATACACTTAATTTAGTATAGCAGCCTGAATTAATTATTCTGACCCATAGTGACCCTGTATAGGGTTTCTGAGGAGCAGCTGGTGAGCATGAACTGCCTACCTTGTGGTTCAAACTGGTGCTGCAGTCCAGCACATTAACCCACAGAGCCACACACAAATTCATCAGAATAAGAGAATACTATGTATGACTGAATGCTAAATGGAATAATGCAGTACAAAGAAGTTCAGAAAAACCATGCCCTTTAAAAAAAAAATCCATTGCATGTACATGATGTGACAGTAAGATCATTTTGTATAGCTAATGAAAACTTGCTGCCTAATCATTTTACACAATATAAGTATATGTCATCTCTTATTTTAAGAGAATCCATTGTGCCCACTGAAGGCACGTAAATTAAGTTGTTTTCCCAATGATGAGAAAATATAATTTAAGATTATACTGAAAGTCTCAAGAAAAAAAAAAATAGACTCTTCAAAAGTAGAAACTTAATTTTCTTATTAAAGGACCAAATCTAAAAGTAAAAATTTTAGAGTTAAAACCAAACCATGAGATAAAATAAAAACTACAACAACCAAAACAAGACTTAAGTATATAAAGCATAAAAGATGGTAAAGAAAGAAAATCTTGTTTAGGGGAGAAAAAATAAAAAGAAATAGAAATATTTTAAATACCTGGGCAAAGACAGATTTTAAAAACGTGATATAAGCAACATCATTAGTGGGTGAAAAGTAGGCAGGAATGAAGTGAACAACGAATCAGTTCACATTCATAAAACTCTGTAACACCACTTTTTCCTCTAATAAAGGGAGAATTTAACCCAGTCATAAATGAGGATGTCCTGAAAAATTCTTTCTCAATGAAGCTATCAAATTGTAACAAAAATGAAGTGATGGAGTTGAAATAGCTTTAGAATCTTTAAATAAACTAAGAAAACATTGGGGAATAAGAAAAATAACATATAAATAAAAACTGAATTAACATTTTAAAGTTAGAATAAACATACATTAGAAAACTAAACAACAAATTTATCACTATCATTATTTATTGTGCTCAGACCTCTCTTCCTTACTAGACCGAAGGTAGGAATAATGTCTCATTTGAGCCTTGGTAGCGTAGTGGAGCTGGGCTGCTAAGCCCAAGGATAGCAGTTCAAATCTACCAGTTGCTCTACAGGAAAAGATGAGACTTTCTGGTCTAAAAAGATTTAGTCTTGGAAACCCCATACAAGGTCGCTATGAGTTGGAACTGACTCAGTGCTATACAATCACTATCAAGTCTGTACACCAAGCACTTAGCATAGAATCTGAATAAATTTCCTAAATTAACAATGATCAATCCCAATAGTCTACATTTTATCTAATTATAATAAAAACATTAATAACCTAAAAAATTATATTATAAAAGTCAAAGTCATATTGACTTTAAATTCAATGAAATCCTTTTTTAAATCAGATACATGAGTCAGTGTATGTGTGTGTCTGAGGGGGGATGAAGGTGAAGAAGGAACTAGCTTTAGGAAGAAAAAAAATCACAAAACTGTGCCATTTGGGAAGAAGTGTATAAATGAATTTAATCAGCATTTATAAGGACAGATACTTATGCAGCTCTAATTAGAGAGCCTCCCAAATAAACATGAGGTAAATGATTTTTTTTTTCCTTTTATACCTTAAAACTTAATAATGGATGTGGGATAAGCTTGCTTACCACCTAAAAATTAGAAATCTGTACAGTTTGGATTTCTGAAAATACCACAGTCCTTAGCAAGCTACATCACAGATGATGGATTGCTTCCCTCTTTCAATCTCAAACATTCTGCTTCTTGAATACCTGTATTGCAAAGGGGGCTCTTCACCATTAGGTAGATGGGGAATCTCAGGTGGTGTTACAAAAACAGTGTGTTCACTTTTGAAAGATTCATCCAGTTCTATAAGTCGCACTTCACCACTCTTGTCCATATCCACCTGAAGGAGTTTAAAAAAAGTACATTAAAAAATACATTAGCTGCTTAAATGTTCATATGTAAGTTAATGGTTAAATAAATCATTCACACAACTTAATATTAAAGAGCCATATTAAAAAAAACACCCAGAGATATGAGATATAATGTTGCATCTCTTACTGTTTTACTTAAGAAGGAGGACAGAAAGGGATGGAGAGATACAGAATTATATCCAGATTTCTCTGTGCATACCTTTTTATATTGATTTGAATTTTGAATTATGAGACTGTATTACCTATCCTAGAAATACCAACTACAAAAAATAAGCACATGTATATGTATGTTGGGAATAGTGGACTCTATTTTTATTCTGATTTATTCTAAATACAACAAATTTCCCTACGTTCTTTCAGTATATATAAGAAAACATTTGGATTAACCTCTGTTGTTGTTAAGTGCTGTCCAGTTGGTTGTGACCTTTGTTGTTAAGTACCATCGAAGTCAGTTCCGACCCACAGACCCTGAACAGGGTTTCCGAGGCTGTAAATCTTTACGGGAGCAGAAAGCCTCCTCTTTCTCCCGCGGAGCAGCTGGTAGTTTCGAACTGCTGACCTTGCGGTTCTCAGCCCAATTCGCAACCACTATGCGACCTGTAGTGAGCCTGTATAGGGTTTCCGAGGAGCAGCTGGTGAGCTTGAACCGCAAGCCTTGCAGTTCAAACAGCTTTGAAGGCTGGCGCGTTAACCTGTAGTGCCACTCTAGACCCATTAATATTGAAAAGCACTTCAGAAGTACTATTTTTCTCTAGATACTGTATCCCCTCCCAAATGAAAGTTTTACAGAGGCTAAACTGCCCCACTGTTGTTGTTGTTAACTGCCATCAAGTCGGTTCTGACCCACAGCAACCCTGCACAGGGTTCTGGAGGTTGTAAATCTTTACGGGCGCAGAAAGCCTCATCTTTCTCCCACGGAGCAGCTGGTAGTTTTGAACTGCTGACCTTGTGGTTCGCAGCCCAATTTGTAACCACTACACTACCAGAGCTCCTTAACAGGAGCTCATAAATTGAATAGGACAATATTGACATTAATAATGGAAACAGATGTCACACATAAAATGCTATCCATAAAGTTTTATTAATTTTATAAAGTGGTAATATCATGTGTTACTCAGGAACAGATGAAATAATTAGAATTATTTATTATGAAGTTGATAACATCTTAAAGATAGGGATCTAGGAAACTTTCAAAACAATAGTGAGGAATGCTGACTGTCAGAATATTTATTATTGGTTTATAATCCCTTAGACACAATTTTTAACTCTTAAGAAACTCTGGAACTCAAAAGCCTCTCCATAACTGATATGACAGCAAAACTTGAACTAAACTGACAATAAGCTATTTATGTTTTTTATTTATCCCACTTAGTATGAACATAAACATTTTGCTTCAAAAATAATAATAATGTATTTAATTATGGGTAATAATACCAGATCCTGCTTGGCCATTATATAAGGCATGGTATAATTTCTATTAAAAATAAAAAAGTTCAGAATTTTGTTAACAAATTTAGCTTCAAGAAGAATTTTTGTGTTGACTGCACATATAAATTATTTAAAATAAAAGTTGCATATTAATGTTTTTTTCTTTTTCTTTTATAGAAAAAAACACTAACACTTAAATAGAAAAACAATGCAATAACTTGATTCTTCACATAATACTTTTTAGGTTACATACTTTCATTTATCACAGGACAAAATGAAGTGGAAAAGGGACAACAGCAGAGTTAGAGTTCCAAATACTTTAGCTGCTACAACACCAACATACTGAGGACAGAGTAGAAGAAATAAGCCAAAAGGCAAACCATTTTTCCTGTAGAATCCCAAAAAGGCCAGGAATAGGGACTGCTATAGGCCTTTGAAGATGTAAATGCAGGTGGAGTCAAAGCAGAGGACTGTTTAAAAGCTTGCAGTTAAGGACTTGATAGTGTGTAAATTGTGTGGGTGTATGTGTATGTATTTAACTCCCCCCTCCCTTTTGTTTTCCAACAGCTTCTAGGAAGCTGATTTGTGCATATTTCTCACTTTCCATCTAGTTATTTCTCATGGAAAAAGCCTGGGTGTCTCAAGACAATTGCTCTAATTATCAGAATCATAAAGTCTACTAAGATACTAAAAACTTGACCTGCAGATTTAGTACCTTGGTAAACTTGTAAGCATACCAATAAAATCGAAACTCAACGTTATAAAAATAACCATGCAATGAATCCTACATTTATCATTAGACATTTCTGTCTTTTAGAAAGCACAGTAACATCTGTCTGTGTGGAGAGAAAAAGAAATCCAACACCCATGGAAGGATAAAATTAAAATTGCTTTCATATGTTCATCATGCTTTTTTCACAAGACATTAATATGCTCAGAAAGCACTGCAAAGTGATGCTTGGTAGACTAAGAAAAATCTAACCAGAATATTTGTTACACAAAACTGCTCTGAGTTAAGCATCAACCTACAGGAACAGATTGTTAAGAATTTAAAATATAATCATAGGAATAACAAAAACACGTGGTTCTTAAATTAATCATAAGTGAAACTCAAATAATTCTAACATGTGTTTCTCTCATTCAGCATTACCCACTCCAGCTTTTTAAAGTCAGTCAAATGTTTCTATTTAGATATGCTCAGATCAAAAGAGGCTACATCTAGGAAAACATGGAACAGAATTTCAAGTTTTCATGGACCTTAGACTTTCTGGAGTCATGATGGGTGGGTGGACCTCTTCAACTACCACCCAGGATTAATTTTTAAATCTTAAATCAAAGATATCCTTGAAGTTAAAAAATTTTTAGTTTAACCAGTTTTATTTTTAAAAAAAGGCTGCCTAGAGCATTATGGTCTTTTCTGGAGTAAGGAAAATGCTCTATACTTTGGAGTTATGGTTACGTGACTACAATGTTAGGTGATAATTGCCTGAGACTAGATATAGGCTATGCATCTTTGTCAGAAATAAATTTGTCAAAATTCTTCAAATTGTACACTTAAAAGGTATATTTACTTTGTATAGATTTTTTTTTAAATGGGCTAAAAAATAGAGTATTACCTCACACACATACTAAAAGTACTTTTAGTAGCACTATACAGTAGTCGTTTATTGTTTGAATTACAGCTAGTTACTATTTATTTATTATTATTGAAAATACCATGGCTTGGGTCAGGGGCACCTTAGTCCTCAAACTGACATCTTTGTTCTTCAACACTTTAAAAAGGTCTTGTGCAGCAGATTTGCTTAATGTAATATGTCATTTGATTTTTTTTTCTTTATAATGTTTTATTGTGAATTATGTGATAGTTTACATGGGAGAACATTAGCTTTACATTCATCCTATCACATATTGTTTCATTCCCATGGTTACAATCCCCTTGCATCATCAACCAACCAAAGGGTATATCCTACAACCGCCCCACCCCCTTCCTCAGCACACAGCCCCTCTCCCTCTCTGGGTCTAAAGTCCCCAGCTGCTCCATCTCTCCATGTCATCCTTGGCTCTGTCCTCCATCTCTTGCGTCACTGCTTCTCTCTGTAGGGTCCTGCTCTCCACTCTTCTCCCTTGATGGTCCCAGGGACCTCTGCTGCTAGACTGCCAAGTCAATCACTACCCTCCTTGCTACAAAGTATCTACCTTTACATTTCCAACCCTCACAATCAGTCCTGATAACAATTATTCACTATTGTATCACAAGAGACCTATCCGCATTTCCTTTCATCAGCCCCGCCTAGACAGACTGGATACTATTCAGTGGAAATTCTACCTTCCTCCACACTTTCTGGATCCAGATTCCCTCTTGAAAGCTTGGAAGCCAGTCACTTCTTGCCTTTGTAGCCCCCCTCCCTTTTTTTGGATAGCCGATATCCAAGTTGCCCATCCCTGTCTACTCTGTGTATGGAGGGGGTGGGAATGATCCTTGTTGTAAAGATTTGTTCCCTCTTTTGAGCTACTGCATCCATAGGTGTAGGTCAAGTTCGTCAAATTGTATCAGATTACTTTTTTTCTTCTCCTTTCTTCTTCTAGTTGAGCTCTGATTATCCAGTCATTGAAGCCAGGTCAAGTAGGTATTATCTGCAAGTGTGGGTGTTCTTATGCATATGCCCTCTCTTCTTATCAGCTGGACATTTCACTCTCCACTCTAGTCCTCTGTGTCTATGCCACTGACTCTTGGCCAAAGAGTCCCCAGGTCTTGCCACACTGCTTACCAACCAGGTCTCCACCCGGGTTCACAGGAGTCTCTTGAACATTGTAGGGCTTAGCTCGCAGCTTCATTGCTGTTTTTCCCTCACTTCTCTTTATCGGTGACACACATGGTCACCAATCAGCGTGTATTCCCATTGAGTCTTAGTCTTAGAAGGGGTTTGCACTAAGGGGACCTGACCACTTGGCTTGCTGTCTCCTGGGCAAGCAACTTGCTTGTTCTTGTAATAATCAGTAGGTCTGCCTATATTGTTTTGTATTTTTCCTGTCAGTCTTTCTTTCAAAAACAAAGTGGTTCTTCTAGCCGCTCCAGGCTGGTCTGCCCATCCTTTCAAGTGGAAATTTCCCACTTCTATAGATTCTATACGTGGTTCAGGATCCCACCTATGTTGTTGTTGTTGTTAAGTGCCGTCGAGTCGGTTTCGACCCATAGCAACCCTGAATAGGGTTTCCGAGGCTGTAAATCTTTACGGGAGCAGATCGCCTCATCTTTCTCCCGCGGAGCAGCTGGTAGTTTCGAACTGCTGACCTTCCGGTTCGCAGCCCGATTCGTAACCACTACGCTACCAGATGATTCCACCTATAGTCTTATGTAATTCAGAGGCTCCACAGGAAGCCTCCTTCACCCGGCACATTGTAGCTCCATTTTAGGTGTTCCAATTTGTTATTGGCAGAAGACAGACGTACAAGCTTTCTATGGTGATATTTCTGATTATTCCTTTCTCTCCCCATCCAGTGTCTATTTTATAATGGTATGCAAGGAAAACCAAGATTCAGAAGACAGCCAAGCATCCTAACATTAATTCCCCCCTTTTCCCCATTCCAACCATGTCTCAATCCCTGTATCCCAGAGCCCTGTTGTTCCAAGGTTGTGCATACATCATTATTTACCTCTGTCCCACTTAGCCCATGCAACCCTGCTTAACTGTTCTCCCATCTGCTTTGTTCTTCCATTCCCCTCTCCCTTGTTGTATATTGCCTCCCTCCCCAGCACCAAAATATCCTGTGTATATTCCCTGCCCTGTGTTCCACCTTCCCCTCCCTCCCCTCACCACACCCCCACATCCCAGCAACCAGCAAAGAATCCACCCCCCCTTTACTATGTGTTCTTTCTCTTAGTCTTTTACAGTACCGGTCCTATGCAGTATTTCTCCTTTTGTGACTGACTAATTTCACTCAACATAAATGTCCTCACTAATTACCATTTTATCAGTTTTTTTTTTCTATTACAAGTATTTCAAGGACTACAGTTGACATTTCTGGGCACCTTAGCTTCTTAACTTCAAGTGTTCTGAAACGAAGGCAAAGGAAGATGCTTACAAGGCTCTGAATGTGTTCCTGCTGTGTAAATCATTCAAAAGCTGAATATTTCTGTCATGAAATGATAAAACCAAATAAATCAGCAAATTATAAGAACAGTTACAGTATTTCTCACTTTTGAAAAAAGTTTATACAGAGTGAAATTAGTCAGTCACAAAAGGAGAAATACCATTTAGGACCACTACTGTAAAAGACTAAGAAAAAGAACTGATACTAAAGGGGGAAGGGGGGAATTCTTAGCTGGTTACCAGGACGTGGGGGGTGGGGTGAGGTGAGGGAGGGGAAGGTGGAGCACAGGGTAGGGAATAGACACAGGATAGTTTGGGTGCTAGGGAAGGGGGCAATACACAAGAAGGGGGAGGGAAATGGAAGAACAAACTGGATGAAAGAACAATTAGGTAGGGTTGCATGGGCTAAGTGGGACAGAAGTAAATAATGATGTATGCACAACCTTGGAACAACAGGGCTCTGGGATACAGGGATTGAGACATGGTTGGAATGGGGAAAAGGTGAGAAATAATGTTAAGATACTTGGCTGTCTTTTGAATCTTGGTTTCCCTTGCATACCATTATAAAATAGACACTGGAGGGGGAGAGAAAGGAATAGCCAGAAATAGCACCATAGAAAGCTTGTAAGTCTGTCTTCTGCCTATAACTGATTGGAATACCTAAAATGGGGCTACAATTTGCTCAGTGAAGGAGGCTTCCTGCGGAGCCTCTGCATTACATAAGAGCATAGGTGGAATCCTGAAACGCATCCAGAGTCTTCTGAGGTGGGAACTTTCCACTTGAAAGGATGGGCAGACCAGCCTGGAGCGGCTAGAAGAACAGAAGATTCTTTCTGAAAGAAAGACTGACAGGAAAAATACAAAACAATATAGGCAGACCTACTGATTATTACAAGAACAAGCAAGTTGCTTGCCCAGGAGACATCAAGCCAAGTGGTCAGGTCCCCTCAGTGCAAACCCCCTTCTAAGACTGAGACTCAATGGGAATACATGCTCTGATTGGTGACCACATTCGTCACTGATAAGGGAAAGTGAGGGAAAAACAGCAATGAAGCTGCGAGCTAAGCCCTACAACATTCAACAGACTCCTGTGAACCCAGGTGGAGACCTGGTTGGCCAGCAGTGTGGCAAGACCTGGGGACTCTTGGGCCCAGAGTCAGCGACATAGCCACAGAGGACTAGAGTGGAGAGTGAAATGTCCAGCTGATAAGAAGAGAGGGCATATGCATAAGAACACCCACACTTGCAGATAATACCTACTTGATCCGACTTCAATGACTGGATGACCAGAGCTCAATTAGAAGAAAGAAGAGGAAAAAAAGAGTAATCTGATACAATTTGATGAACTTGACCTATACCTATGGATGCAGTGGCTCAAAAGAGGGAACAAATCTTTACAGTGAGGATCATTCCCACCCCCTCCATACACAGAATAGATAGGGATGGGCAATTTTGACACTGGCTACCCCCCAAAAAGGGGGGAGGGGCTACAAAGGCAAGAAGTGACTGGCTTACAGGCTTTCAAGAGGGAAACTAGATCCGGAGGGCATGGAGGAAGGTAGAATTTCCACTGAGTAGTATCCAATCTGTCTGGGTGGGGCTGATGAAAGGAAATGCGGATAGGTCTCTTGTGATACAATAGTGAATAATTGTTATCAGGATTGATTATGAGGGTTGGAAATGTAAAGGTAGATGTTTTGTAGCAAAAGGAGGGTAGTGATTGACTTTGCAGTCTAGGAGTGGAGGTCCCTGGATCCATCAAGGGAGAAGAGTGGAGAGCGAGACCCTACCTAGAGTAGCAGTGACACCAGAGATGGAGGCAGACACGTGGAGAGATGTGGAGAGATGCAGCGGCTGGGGCCTCTAGACCCAGAGAAGGAGAAGGGCTGTGTGCTGACGGGCAGACTTGCAGGGTATACCCTTTGGTTGGTTGATGATGCAAGGGGACTGTAACCATGGCAATGAAACGATATGCGATAGGATGAATGTAAAGCTTATGTTCTCCCATGTAAACTATCACCTAATTCACAATAAAACATTAAAAAAAAAAAGAAAAGATAAATGGAGAAAAGAAAAAAAATTCATACAACTAATACTGTGAGATTTGTTGTTATAACAACACTCCTCTTCATTAAGCAGATAAGAAAAACTACACGACTAAAGTCACAAGTATAAGAACTGAGATTAACGTTCTGCTTCACAATGTAGAGTTTTGTTCTATTACACTATGCACTATCCTAAGGAGCTCTGGCAGTGTAGTGGTTATGAGTCAGGCTTCAAGATCAGCAATTCTAAGCTACCAGCTGTTCCTTGGGAGAAAGATGAGATTTTCTGCTCCCGTAAAGATTTACAGCCTTGAAAACCCTATGCAGGGTCACTGTAAGTCAGAACTGACTCCATGGCTTATCATCACCACTACCACCATGCACTATCATGAAGTCCTGCTGTGGAGCTATAGGATAAGCACTGGACCTCAAGGTCACTTTGAACTGAAAGGTCGGCAGTTCAAACTCACCAGCCACTCCTGGGAAACCCTATACAGGGTTGCTATGAGTTGTAGCCAATTTGACAGCACTTAACAACAACAATAACAACAACATACAGTATTCTGATTTGGTACTGTAGGATAAGAACTGGACTATAAACCATAGTCAGTGGTTCGGCGCCTCAAATTCACCAGATGCTCCTCGGAAATCTTATACAGGCTCGCTATGAGTTGGAACCAACTTAACAGCACTAACAACATACACAGTGAGAATCACTTTTCATTTTTATAAAACACATTTGGAGCTTATTTAATGATCAACAACGGACGTTTTCATGTCAAACACAGAATGGAGTCAATTTCTGAATATTGAGAGATGTGTTATATTTTGGCTATTATGAAAACAAATTAGTGATTTTCTTTCACAATCACATAAATTTATAAGTCATTATGCATGCTTTTAAATAACATCACAATTGTAAATTGTATTAGAAGAGTTTATGCACACACATACACAGAAACACACTTTGTATACATACTTAGTTTTTTTTAACTTAATGTTACAAATTTATAGAAAAGTTTACAGAACAGTAGAAATAATTTTCCCTCTCAATCTTTTGATTAAGTTGCTGATTGTACCTTCACTCCTAAATACCTGGAAGTGTATTTCCTGTAACAAGGACATCCTCTTACATAGTCATAATACAAATGAAAATCTAGAAATGAATACTAATATATTATTATGTAGTGGTGTATGATATGCACAGGATATGCACAGGATATGCTCACTGCAAGGTCAGTGGTTCAAACTCACCAACTACTCCTCAGAAACTCTCTATATGATAGCTATTACTCAGGACCAACTCGAAGGTATCTGAAAACAACAAAAATCTTCAGACCACATTTAAGTCCTGTTTATGATCCTAATAATGTTATAGCAAAAGGATCCATCCAGTTATGAATCATGCATTGCATTTGGTTGTCAAGTCTCTTTATCCTGCTTGCCCTCTAATTTCCACATGCAAAGCCACCGCTCTACATGCGTGTTATTTTCATCAGGTTTTGTCTCTAATATCCCCCTTTGGGCTGCTTTTCATCCTTACTCCACTCAAATTTTGACACTTTCTCTGAGGTCCAGTTCCTCAACCTCCTCCTTCTTCAGCCTGGATACCTATCTTGCTCTGCCCTAACTAATGGGAAGAAAACTGAAGGGGAGAGTTAATTTTAAAATAACAAAATTTAATTTATGCTATAAACTCACCCACAAATTATAGACATATCCAGGTTAAATATCTCTTATGCTCTATATCTACCTCAAACAGCAAGAAGAGAATATTGGATGCTCAAGTCGGAGGTCCACAGGCCTGGTAAAACCAATAGTCTGTCTACAAATGGCCAAGTTGAACTCATGATTTAGTTAAATCCTGCAAGGTACTCATGAGAGGTTGTGTGCACAATAATTTCTATTGGGCTACCAAAACTTTCATTTTAAGTGGTCAATGGTAAAATTATTTAGATTTTCATAAAAGACTGCAAAAATTATATTGGAAACTATAACATAACATTTATTGCAGCCACACAAAATAAGTTAGGGAATTGGAGACATATACTTACTTTATCTACACAATCATCAAAAAATGCGAGGCTTGCATCTTTATCACTGACAAAAGAACATTCTTCAATGAAGCGAATAAACATTTGTGTTTTGGTCATCAGGTTATAGAATTTTTGATGTGACCGATCCCGACTTCTCAAGAAAGCTGTTTAAAATAACCATATAAAGTCAGAATAAATACTATCATGCATACACTCAAACTTTTTGAGCTAAAAGGAACTTGATTAACTATGTCATCTAAACTCCCCACACTCCCACCCCTTTGCAGATAAAGAAACAAAGATCCCTGAAAAAGGAAATGACCTGAAATGGTAACAACAGGAAAGGAACCTGAACCCTGATCTCTCAAATCATCTCCCTTATTTGTCTTTCATTGTCCACTGCTACCTTGAAGATTATATACAAACTAATAGATCTGAAAGCATTTAGAAAATTGCTCTGCCCATCCCTCTAAATGCTTTCTGTGCTGTGTGTACACATACTCACTCTGCAGGTTTACATATGTAGCTTTATCATAGCAGCAGTAACATTCCCTCTTGTACTCATTATTTGTGCCTTATTTATTGACAATAGTAAAAGTTTATTTCCTGGATTCCCTGTACACCTTGATCATTATATTCAAGTTGTTAGGCTGTACTGGTCTTCTTTTGGTCCATTAGCTCTAGCTCTTTTATAGTCTCACAGACTTTGCATAAACTGTTCTCTCTAAAACACTCTTATTCTTTCCCTTTGCCTGGCTAATTTCTATTCATTCTCTTTGTGTGTAAGGTGTGTCTCTTGCAGGCAGCATATTAAAGGGTCTTGTTTTCTTATCCATTCTGCCACTGTCTGTCTCTTCACTGGTGCATTTAATCCATTGACATTCAATGTAATTATCGATTGGAATGAATTAATTGCTGTCATTATGTTAATTTTTTGTGATGCTGTTCGTTCCGTTGTTCTGCATGCCTTCTTGTGCTGAGTTCATGTATTTTGTGCTATTTCTTGTCAGTTTATTCTTAGTTTTAATGTTTCCTTGTCCTGCTTGGATCTTCATTTTCATGGTAAATTGTGAAGTATTAACTTCCTTTGAGGTTACCCTGTAGTCTATTAACTTTTCCCACCATTTAAGACAGCCTATTGTATCCTGTATTCATGGCTGTTCTGATCCTTACCCCATTTGTTCTCTCCCAAGATGGCAGCTCTGGGAATAGCTGAGCATCTTGAATTAGAAAGCAATGGATTTCTTGATTCTCCTACAAATTCCCCTAGCCTTCCAATCTTCTAAATATTCCTTTATATATGGTTCAGAGTTCTAGCACCATGCCCTGAGCGTTCTTGGCCTGGTATTCTGTGTTGTTGGTGATGGAGCTCCTCACTGCACATCTACCCAATCTGCCATCTTGATTGTGCCTGACAGAACCGAGGAGATACAAATGTGGACATTCATTATTTTGGTATCTGTCCATTATTCATTGGTCTCTTGCTGATTGCGTACCTCCATTCTGGTAACTAGAGGGGATACCTGAGCAAATGGATGCCCCACTCCCACCCCTGGAGGGTTCTACTACACATGCGCACAGATCTCCTCGAAATTTAAAGTGACAGTTTCGACCCAAAACCAAACGGCCACTACTTGTCTGTCTGTTGTACAGTGGTGGCTTGTGAGTTGCTGTGATTCTGAGGGCTATGCCACCGGTATTTTAAATAACCAGCAGGGTCACCCATGGTGGACAGATTTTAGATGAGCTTCCAAAGACAGACTAGGCAGAAAGAGTGACGAACTACTTCCGAATCTTTAGTCACGGAAAACCTTATGAATAGCAGAGAAACACTGTCAGATACAGTGCCGGAAAATGAGCCCCTCAGGTTGGAAGGCACTCAAAATGCGACTGGGGAAGAGATGCTTCCTCAAAATAGAGTTGACCATGACGATGCGAATGGAGTTAAGCTCATGGGAGGAAAGCCCACAGAACCTTCCTTTGCTGATGGGGCACAAATCAAAATGAAGAGAAACAGCTGTAAACATCCATTAAAAATAGGGTCATGAAATGTATGAAGTATGACTCTGGGAAAATAGGAAGTTGTCAAAAATGAAATGGAATGCATGAGCATCGATATCTTAGGCATTAGTGAGCTGAAATGGACTTGTATTGGCCATTTTGAATCTGACAACCACATCGTTTACTATGCAGGTAATGACAAATTGAAAAGGAATGGTGTTGCATTCATCGTCAAAAAGAACATATCCAGATCAGTCATGAGGTACAACGCTGTCTGTGACAAGATAATATCCATGCGCCTACAGGGAAGCCCAGTTAATATCGCTATTATTCAAATTTATGCATCAACCACTAATGCCAGTGAGGATGAAATAGAAGAATTCTACCAACTTCTTCAATCTGAAATTGATCAAACATGTAATTAAGATGTATTGCTCATTACTGGTGATTGGAATGCAAAGGTTGGGAGCAGAGAGGAAGGACCAGTAGTTGGAAAATACGGCCTTGGTGATAGAAATGATGCTGGAGAACACATGATAGAATTCTGCAAAAGCAATGATTTGTTCATTTCAAATACCTTCTTTAGACAGCAAAACAGACGACTATATACATGGACCTCACCAGATGGAATACATAGAAATCAAACTGACTACATCTGTGGAAAGAGACGATAGAAACGCTCCATATCATCAGTGAAAACAAGGCCAGGGGCAGACTTTGGAACAGACCATCAATTACTCATATGCAAATTCAAACTGAAACTGAAGAAAAGGAAAACAAGTTGACGAGAGCCAAAACATGACCCTGAATATATCCCACCTGAATTTAGAGATGATCTGAAGAATAGACTTGATACATTAAATACTAAAGACCGAAGACCAGAAGAGTTGTGGGATGATATCAAGAACATCATACATGAAGAAAGCAAAAAGTCATTAAGAAGACAAAAAGAAGGAAAACATCAAAATGGATGTCAGAAGAGACTCTGAAACTTGCTCTCCAGTGTACAGATGCTCTAAGCAAATGGAAGAAATGAGGAGGTCCAAGAGCTGAACAGAAAATTTCAAAGATCAGCTTGAGAACATAAAGCCAAATATTATAATAAAATGTGCAAAGATCTGGAATCAGAAAACCAGAAAGGAAGCACACGCTCAGCATTTCTCAAGCTGGGGAAACTGAAGAAAAA